GGTATACCATAATACCGAAATACCGCCCAAGCCCTACTTGAAAATATGATTGGCAGAATCGTAGAAATGCTGGATTAAGATCGTCTAGGGGTCGAATCGAGATTCCGATCTTTTAACGATTAATTGTGCAGCTCTAATGTGTGTGTGTGTGTGTGTGTGTGTATATATATAAGTATGTGTGTGAGCATCTGTGTGTTTTGTGTGTCTGTGAGGATTGGACATGGGACGGTCACTGTTTTCAAGGTATACCGCGGTTTGGAAAAGTCAAGGTTTTAAAACCTTTTGTGTAATACCGTTTCTAAGGTATGAGTAAGATTTTTTATTTACTTTTTTTGTTTTATAGGACAGCAGTATCTGCCGTTGTAAATTGTAAAGAAATCAGTGTTTTTGAAACTAATGAAGACAGCAGAAGTCACTGATTTATTTAAATTATTTGTTTCTGACATTTTTACTGCTCCAAAATATTATCAATCTTTCAAAAAATAAAATATATTGTTTTCTAAGGAGAAAAAAGTTAGTTTTTTTAATCCAGACATTTAAAAAGAATATATATTTTAGAGCAGTAATCTCAATACCGTCATACTGTAAAAATTTCCAAGGTTATCATACTGTCAGAATCATGTACCGGCTCATGCCTAGTGAGGATGTGAGTGTGCATGTGTGTGTGAGCGAGCAAGCATGCATGCATGCATGTATGTGTGTGAGCATACAGCATAGGCATGTGCAAGTGTGTGTGAGTGAGTGCGCATATGTGTATGCGAGTGCGCATGTGCGTGTGTGAGTTAGCATGTGTGTGTGTATGTTTGTGTGTGTGAGTGAGCATGCATTTGTGTGTGTGCATTTGTGTGTGCGCATGTGTGTGATTGTGCATGTGTCTGTGTGTGAACGTGCATGTGTGAGGGTGGGTGTGTGTGTGTGTGTGTGCTTGTATTTGTACTATACTGTATTTATACTATATTAAATATTATATGTGTGTGTGAGTGCATGTGTCTGTGTGAGGATGCATGTGAGTGCGTCTGTGTGAATGTGTGTGTAAACATGCAAGTGTGTGCTATGTGTGTCAGCGTACAAATGTGTGTTTGAGTGTTTGTGCACGTGTCTGTGTGTATGCATGTGTGTGTGAGTGCATGTGTCTGTGTGAGGATGCATGTGAGTGCATCTGTGTGAATGTTTGTTTAAGCATGCAAGTGTGTGCTATGTGTGTCAGCGTACAAATGTGTGTGTGAACATGCGTGTGTATGTGTCTCTGTGCATGCATGTATGTGTAGCTATTTTTATTGTACTGTATGTTCTATAAATAAGTGTGTGTGTGTGCGTGTGGTGCAGGTTCTCTATATTTGGCCGTTGTAAAGAGATCTGTGTGTCCTCAGATACAGCAGTGTGTGTGTGTGTGTGTGTGTGCGTGTGTGTGTGTGTGTGTCAGCTCATCTGCTGCAGTCTTCTGATTCATTCACAAATGCAGCCACACATCCAACGCACAAAAAGCAAATAGTGAATGAGTGCTGCAGTGAGCGCAGGTGATCTTCAGTTCACCGGTCTGTATATGTACAGCTAGCTGCGCAATATGGACAGAATAAAAGCTCTATCGTTCCACATTATGCTCTGTCGTTCTTATTGTGGTGTTACAAAACACATCACTTATGCTAATACTTCTTCATATTTTATATGAGGCAATATTACACGCCATTCCTCACCAATTTGAGCACATTTTGGAGTCTAAAGGCTTTGATTGTTTGAAGTGTTTTAATTCTGAATTAATTCTGTCTCTCTCTGTTTCAGGTTTTGTCAGTAGGTGCAGGGTCTCGATGCAGATGCTGCGGGTGAAATGAATAAGGCCCCTCAGCCTCTGTCAGGACCCCCGTCCGCCCCACCCCACCCCTCTGTCCCGCTGCCAGCGCCCTCTCCAGGCCTGAGCCAGGTACCGCACCTCCCCTGAAAACCTTTAAAACTAACTACATGCATTAACATCAACAACTCTTCATGTTTCAGTTTAGATGTTGAATAAAAATGTTGACCTTTCGAGCTTTCAATATATGTAGTGTTGGACACCGCTGATATATATATATATATATATATATATATATATATATATATAT